GTCAGATCGATCCATTTAATCCCAAGACCGACACATTTATCGTCACACATACACACCGTGTCGGTCGGGGAAACGGACGACCTTCATGGTTTCATGCCTACTTGAGCGAAGACCTGAGGGGAACGAGTTCATGACGAGAAGCGCTACACTGATGGGAAGGCGTTCATTGTTCTGGTTGTGAGCACTTTGCTTGATGGTTTTTTGTCAAAGGCAATGAAAAAAAAATAAAGCGAAACCAGGCAGACAAGTAGTGCCAAGTGCCCTGTTGATTGAATTGCCGGCACAAGTGCCTTCCATAATTAACCTCGGTAACAAAGGTCTACCCAAAGGTGACATAATGTAGGGACTCCATTCAATTCAATTTAGTGTGGAACAACGATGGAGCGCTTTTGAGTTGATACAAAATCTGCAAAAATTTCGTCTAAAACCCTTAAAAGCCTCCATATGGGTTCCAGAAGGTAGACGGGAACCAAATCTCCACCTGGGACACCTGACACTCTTGTCTCCTCCATACCTTCGAGAGGCTGTTTGGGAGAATTGTCGTGATCAGCAATCTACACGGAAAACCTCACTGAATTTTCTTCAATTGTTATTGCATCTTTGGAGTTTTTGCTCCTTTTTTAAACTCCTCGCCATGAATCCTTCTTGAGTTTGATTGAACCTCCATTAACAGTTGTTTCATAACAAACGGTTCCTTTGAAAATCCGAAACCATCCATCTAATGGACTGGTTTTTGCTGGTTGTTTAGATATCTAACAATACGTTCTGGAAGGTAAACCTTGCTGAGTTGTCGGCGAATATTGTAGCTCGTTCCAGCTCGGCAATTGGACCGAACGAACTGGTTGGCAGTTTGACGGCCGCTATGCAAACAAATGGGAGTTTGACATCGACCCGGATGCGGACGATCTTGCTGGACTTCATCTACGAGTGGTCGTCTATTTGGTAAGTGAAATTAGTGAGTCAGAGACTTATGGCCTACTATCATACAAAAAATTAGCGAGCAAACTCGTCCCCCGCCATCTTACTCATCTCTGAACTGCTACTGGTCTCATTTAAAAACCGATTCAGCGTACACAAATGAGTAAGAAATTCCTGAGCGAGCAAATCATCGGTGGCGAGAGGTAATGCATTTTCTGCCAGACATTGGAGCTGAGTATGTTTTGGCGCGTCATTGCCTATTGCATCACCCCTTGAACCGCTGCGATTTTCTCGAAACCCGTTCCTTTGAAAGGGACCCTCTCTCCGAAACAGTGTGACTCTTGAAGTAGATCCAGGCAGATAAGCTAACTCCGCACGAGTCCACGCAGGAGAACTGTTTCCTATTCCTTCCCAACAGCTTCTCGTCCTTATGTGATTCTAGAATTTAGCTCAGAATGGGAAGGTAGATACCGAGCAAAAAAGTGTTTCTTTTTCTCCGCCAATCGTTTTTATCGTCTTATGGTTCTAGTCGAAGAGTTAGCTCAAAATAAAAAGTGAGAGTCATGTAGAGCACTGCTTTGTTTCTCCCTGGAAATAGTTTTTCATCCCTTAATGGATCCACTTTGAAAGATGAGCTCACAACGGAAAGATGTCATGAAGGAGTACTTGGGGGCGGCTACATTGTTACAAGGTATTTCACCACCATCGCCGCTGAAAACTTTTCAGGAAGAACCGTTCGTAACTAAAAATTCCGATAACCAGTATGAAGGTTTCTGTATTGATCTGCTCAAGGAGATGGCAGCTATTCTCAAATTTAATTATACGATCATAGAAGTCCAAGATGGAAGTTATGGCATTGAGGTAAGGCACTCCTTTATGAACTTTAGAGAGTTTTTTTTTTCTGAAAACGCAGGTCACCAGTTGATTTTCAAGGTAATTCTCTAAAGTGTGATACTTGTAGGATGAGTCGGGACGATGGAACGGCATCATTGGTGTTCTACAACGACACGAAGCCGATGTGTCCATTTCGGCGCTAACGATCACCTATAGTAGAGTAGAAGTAGTTGGTAAGTGAGAAGCGTTTGCCCTTTCGCTTTTCTGAACTTTGAACGCCAGTGTTCTTTCAATAAATACCCTTGATCTGAATCCTGTTTTAGACTTTACACTGCCATTCATGCATCTGGGTATATCAATTCTTCTCGCTCGAGCGAATGACGATTCAGAAAAGGTAACTTTCCTGGGGAACCAATTATTGCTGTCTACCAGTCCAATGCAATATGGAAAACTATTTCATTCTCAATAATCTCAGTCTCCTAGAACTGTTTTTACAGATGACTCTCAAGAATAGTCTGTATGGTAAAGTCCCAGTCCATGACAATCCGAGATATCCTTTTTAGTCGAAAAGCGGAAGTATTGGTTGGGAATAGTGAATTGGCGGTAAAGGAATCTAGAAAATCCATTGATTTTGTAGAAAATATGGCTGCTCAACATTAGTGGAATAGAGGTTGTACGAGATGACCATGACGGGAATGACATGACAAGGGTACTGGGACGAGATTGCAGGTGTTACAATTGCGAAAAGAGCTGATTTCATCGAGTCAAACCAACCAGAATTGCCTTTCACTGTCGCTATCGATCATGACAAGTTGCCTGAACTTCCTTCATGGACTCACTTGTAAATGGTGCAGCTTCTACATTGACGTTGAAACTCGTCCGTGCATACACACGAGCCATTTTATCCTATTCTAGTCATTTTAATCGCGAACTGTTCCTTTAAATGAGAGCATACAGTGAAGATAAGAACCCTTCAGGAGAAAAGAGATCTAAACCCTCCAGCTTTTTCCTTTCAGAGTTCTATGTTCACATTCCTGGAGCCACTGTCGTTCTCCGTGTGGCTGTCACTCATTGGTGCCTACCTCTCCGTTTCATTTATTATGTACCTCTTGGCGAGATTCAGCCCTTATGAATGGTGAGATTGAAAGCAAAGGCGAAGGGATACTGTTGAAATGAGAACAAGCAATTTAAGGTATGACATTGAGAAGATCGACGAACGTGATCGGAGCATCGAAAATCAGAAGAACCAATTCAGTGTGCTTAATTCGTTATGGTTCGCCGTCGGTTCCTTAATGCAACAAGGAAGTGACGTGATTCCTCGCGCTGCCGCCACTCGGGTAGTGGCAGTGATATGGTCAGCAAGGGAGTCGTTTTGAATTCTCCCATTCTGTTGCAAATGAATCTTGTTCAGGTGGATGTTCACCCAGATACTTATTTCCTCCTATACTGCCCAATTAGCGGCGTTCCTCACGGTTGAACGGATGACCACACCCATTGAAAGGTGAGACACCAATGAATCCATTATGGGTAATCTCAGCAGCGAACGCGACGTGTACCATACGAAATATTTTCAGCACTGCAGATCTCGCTAGTCAACAGAAGATTCGATATGGGACTTTGAAAAGCGGCAGTACAATGGATTTCTTCAGGGAAAGTCGAATCCCGATCTATGAACGGATGTAGGTCCCTTACCTTGAGAACTTGCACCTACTTCAGAAATCAGAGCAAGCAAATTGGTGTTACTTAACTAGAACCGATTAGAACTGTCATAAATATGTAAAGCCTCTTTTACATTCATATACATATGACTGCGTAGAGATAGTGTAGTGGCAAACCTGAAAACGGGAAATCGAATCCTGTGCCAGTATTCGCCCGGATCAATCGAGCCTTCCATTCTTTCATGAACAACTGATTAGTACCAGAGATGTCTGGGGGATAAGCCCACCGACTTGTACACTGGTTGTCCACATTAAGTCACTGTATAGTCCATTCAGCACACTGTATAGACCATTCAGCAGGCTACTACGTCTTTGGGCCGGGTTTGAGACTTGGTGTCCAGCCGATGTACAAGTCAGTGCTTTTATTCTCCCACACGGGTCTGGTAACAGTTAGGGGACCCCGGATATATGGAAGGTTGATGGCTAAGCCGGGATCGATCCGAAGTTCGAACCCTTGACCATCCGTTTGTGATGAGGCGCCACTTGCCACTACACCACTACCGCCCAATGCAATACATTCATGTAACATCACTAATGTTTCAAACCTCTCTTGTTAGAATGTTTTATGTTTTTGTGCAGAACACGCAAGAATGTCATTGCCGAACAGAAAACATGGAGTGAACAAAAAAGTGTGCGTCCTTTTGCAAAGATGGAAGCGGGTTTTACTAGAGCGCTAGCACGTCACTCCAGTGTTTTCCAATCATTCGCGTCTCTGTTAGGGAACTACATCGAAGCAAATCGAGCACCGGCATGTTACGCCTTCATAAATTCGCTTAACCAGCTCAAGACTTCCGCGATGTTGTGAAATCTCATTAATACAGATTTACCTTCGTATAGATGACTCACACAACTTTGCGCTGAAGTGACGGTATCAAACTGGTTTGATGCTCGTTTGACGAACTATTTTGTAACAACCGAAATATTTCCTGAACATTTTGCATGGTTGTCAGGGCTCCCTGGAACAGTAGGAATGAGAAACGAACTAGTTTGGCTCAATGTCATTATTTTCAGATATGACGAGGGCAGGGGAATGTCAAATTCAGTGAAGAAACTGATATTCTTTGATTGATCTATGTTGCTGTTGATGTTTTATTGATAGGTATAATTAAAACAGGACACCCTAAGGCTCTGCTCCTGCCTAACAGCTCGTGCGGTAACAGACGAGGGGACTCTTTTGACACGTGGTGTAATGGCAAGTGGGGCTCTATCACACACGCATGGTCACAGGTTCGAGTCAATGTCTGCCTGAGTCAATCAAGCCTTCCATCACTCTGGGTTCGGTACTGGTACGGACTCGTATGGGAGGGTAATAGCACTGATTTGTACATCGGCTGGTCACCGCAATTCACTGTATAGGCCACATACGCACCCATCACGCCATTACGATTCTGAATGGAAGCTGAATATGAGGGTACATCACTCAGACGGGGTTGATTAATTACTCAAGACTTTATCCTCGATTTTTTCAGCTGGTACGGAACCCTTCTTGCTGCAATTTGCTGTCTAATATTTTCAGGTGGTCCATTATGGAATCCTCGTCGCCGACAGTATTTGTCAATAGTTCCAAGGTCAGTCTTTCACTGCTCCTCGAAGGAATGTTTGACTTTTTAATCATTACCAGAGATCGTTTCCGAAAAATTTTACGAGCATTGCATTTGGAAATGCTGATGACGACGGTCTTTTCAAAATATCTTATTTTTTGAATTGTTCAACGAATGAAAAATTCACCTAGGTAGTGTACTCCTTCGAAAAAAACACATTTACAATCGCAAAATCTCAAGATTTTTTCAGGACTACGCTGTATGTAGTTTCACTTAGGCCTGATGTAATGTTCCGAGAAGAATGATTGGAACAAAGTGGAAATTTAGATGAATAAAACAAAAAAAAATACAACCGCAGTCCACATGTGGACTGCATGGTCGTCATTGGGTTAATGCCTGTGACTTCAGTAACTTTTTTGCAAAACGCAAAATTTACTCCAAGATCCAAGGTTGCCTATGTCGCCATCTTCAGCTACTTAGACTTTGGCCACATTCGAACGCGACCTTGATCGCTTGACCCAGAACGCAGTTGACGCGGTGTTGCGAATTTGTATGCTAGGCAAATGATACGGCGACCTCTTTGACGATATCAATGAACTTCTGAAGGAAATTAATTAGGGAGTTAATGCAGATCTGTAAGGACACTGCTCACTACATTTTGAGAAACCCTCTTTACGGTCAAAAGTAGAAGTGTTAGTAGTCAATTGTGCATCGGTGACGAAAAAAGCGAAAAAAATCGGCCATCTTTGCGAAAAATAATGCTTCCCGAAGACTGTGAAATTTGAAGTCGCATGAGATTACCGTAACGAGAACGGCATGGGAGGAGTATTCGGACGAATTCTTCCGTTGCAATTACGCGAAGAGCTTACTACATTATGTAACTCTTGGGAATGGTGCAGCTTATACAACACGGTGAAACTCGTCCAGTCTAGGTGTGGCAAACAGATGCTACAATCTTTGAGCCATTGTAACACCCTTTCTATGCTGTGATCCGATCTGGCAGCGCCACATGTGGTATACGAGCCTACCGCAGATTCATCCTGGTAGGATATCTCAGGAACCATTTTCACAGTGAAGTGTGCCTTTAAGACACAACAACTCGTTCTCCATGTTTACCCAGTCGTACAGTGTCTCAGACACATTCAGCGAAAATTGAAAGTTCTTCGTGTATCATAATGCGGAAGGCCGTATTGACGTGAAATGATTCATGATACAAAACTTGTCTTCCAAATGTTCTTTGGGCGTCACGAAAATGACAAAGAGGGTGACTGAATGATAGCCAGCCACTGACGTGGCGCGTTGCAAGATATGAAGAGTGTGGAATCCACAAATCATTTCAGTTTTTCCACCATACAATGGACTACTTATTATGGTTTCTAACTTATGGACCAGTAACAGGTTTACTTCGATGATAGTTGAGATCACCTTTGGATGACGTCGAATGATGATTTCCATAGGTCATTACAGCATCCTCTAATTGAAAGTAGAAGTGGAAGGGCGGTTAATTCAGTTTCTTTAACAGCCTTTTTAACCGTTAGTTCCTTTAGCTCAATTTTCGTGTATCCCTAAATAAAGGTTGGGTGATAATAATGAATAATATTTATAATAATAAAGCCTTTGAATGTTCAGCAAGGGAACTTTTCACCCCCCTCTAACTACTACTTCATTGCGTCATACTGCCTGGAACGGGTTGAGAGTAGCTCAATAGAGAATCTAACCACAAATGATCAATTTGCCAGTTGAAACAGTACTCAAGTGAATAGGAACACCTTGGTTCCTTTTGGGATCTATCACAGCTTTTGAATTTAACAATCGTATCCAAATTTTTTTTTTGTGGTGGTTCAGAGTCTTTGTTTTTCATACACCCTTACACCCTTACAAATTACAAAGTTGAACTTCTTGAGCCAAGTAGGAACCGGTTACTTGGAAACCACTGGAATTGGTAGGCCTTCTGTGACAGAAATATCACTTTTCCAAGATCTTCTTTCTAGATCCGCTGTAGTTCATAAACATTTTATGGTCTCCAAATATCTATGTAAATGTTGATGCTCAGTGAACCCACTAATGAACAAAACCTAAAATACCACTAGAGAACTAGACCGATTGGGAAATTTCTTTTTGCGATTGTTTTTTTTTCTGCTCAACAAGAGAGCAGAGACAAGTTTTTCGATAAGTCATTGGTTTTTTTTGGCAGCACATCACATCCAGCAGCACCACGGGTTCTCCTCAATTAACGCATCGGACGCTGTCATTTAAATGAAAAAAGTCTTGTCTGCATTCCAGTACTTACACCGCCGCTCACCTGTCTTTTTTTGCCACTTGAGTTCCACTCACATCCCGCTCGGGCCGCTTAAGTAACTTCGCGATGAGTTGCTGGCTCTACCGTCCTTAATTCCATTGCAGAACTGGACCTCGTCCAAACACCCCTTCCTTCGCCATTATATCGTACAAGCCAGGGAGTTGGATACTTTTGATGGGGTTTATGTTTGGCAAAATCTGTTTACTCTCTCGTTTTCTCCCATGAGCTATTCCGCACCAATACCTCTACCTTTAACTGAAAAACTCTACCTCATATTACCGCGAGTAGTTCCTCTTAGAGTAACTACTTAGTCAACCTGGAAAAACAACAGCATTGGAGGTGGATTTTTGGCCTAAATGTTGAGTGGAAGTGGCCTGTCAATTTGAGTGGCCCTCTTCGCTGGATTCCCTCTAGCCTTGAATACTCTGGATACAACGGATACAATAAGAAACGTGAAGCTACCCTTCCGGTATGCGTCAGTCCGCATCAAACCACTTTCATGGCAAGGTATTAGAATGAAGGAGTATTCACCAGACCAGTTCTCCTGGAACATTTTGTAAACAACAATCTTAGTCATATACAAACTCTGCCATGAAGTCGTCACAACATTGCAATCATTAGATAGAGGCATCAGGATGAGCCGCAGGATGAAAGGCCTTCGCCAGAAGGGGTAGTATACAGTGCGTTTCACAATTATAAGATCACCCTCAATTTTTGCACTTTCAAAGAAAGTAATCATTAAGGATTTTTTCTAGCATCATGAACAGATTCCCCAGCACGAATAACTTAGGTATCCGTCGCTTAGCCGCTGCTGCATTCTTCTGAACTTTTTTAGAACAGTTTATCGGTTTTTGCACCGTTTCATAATTATAAGGTCACCCTGAGAAAGTGAACAATTATTCATGGAAGAGAGGAAATTTCGTGTTTGAAGATACCTGTGAAGGTAAGCATGTGTAGCAAAGGCATTTCTAAACCTGACTGTCAACATGGCTCGTGGTCATCTGCTTTCCTCTGATGAGAAGGCTCATCATGAAGGTGGGCTCCGTACTCGAGCCATTTCCAGGCAAATAGAGAGATCCCCTCGGTCCATTCGGAGATTTCTAGAGAGTCCTCATGTCGTTAGAT